AGGCCTGGCCTCTTATCTTTTAAACTAACCTGAACTATTCAAGAAATTAGCCAATTAAATAACAAATGGCCTAATCAGCTGAAGGAACTTATAAAAAAGAACCACAATAAAGATCGAATTTCTTTCTTCCATTATTGCTATTTTATTTAATCTTTAATCCATTTTCTAATAAAGATTCATTTAAAAGTCAATAAAATTTAGATTTTTCTCAAAACGGAAAAATTATACAATTTAATTTCTTTGCAATAAGATTAGAGGATGAAAATTAAGAAATAAGCTTTTTTGTTTTCCTCCTAAATTCTCGTTTCTAAATTTTTATTTCTTTTTTTGAAGCTATATGATCAATGGAAAATCAAAAGGGATTTTTTTGGTAAATTTTTATTGTTATCAATTTCTACAAAATTTCTGAATATTTGAATGAATACTCTTAAATTGCCAACAATCATTCAAATTTCACTTCTAATGACAAGTTTACTTCTAACAAATCAAAGAATAGAATGGCTCAATTCAGAGTGCAGATGGTGAGATTCGATTCTCGGCAGGAGTAAGTCTATACAAAAATTCGAGTGATGCTGGCGACACCTGTACTTCTATCGCGAAGAGACTCCCTCGTATATTTGTCTAATGTGACAAGTCAAGCCAAGCCAATGGAATGAGTCTAACAAGTAATAATGAGAGCTCTTAAGAAGAAACAGAAGCAAAGAACCAAATCTACAATACTTGTTATCAGTCGATTTTGCATTTATATCATGTTATCAATTATGTTTAACTCCACTTCATTTTAAGATAGAAGAAAGTTAACACTTTTTGTTTAAATTTCAAATTAGAGAACTATAATATAGTATTATGAAAACTTTAAACCAAAAATATATATAAAAGAAATTTGAAGAAAAAAAATCTAATTTGCGAAAACTTTTCTCATAGAATATTGAAAAACTCATTTGGAACCAAGGCAGTCTTAAAACCATTAAATAATCATTGGTCTGAAAACGCAACTAAAATCAAGTTGATGAATTTGAATGAATTGTTGATGAATTCATAATTTATATATATTTTTTAATTCATTCAAAACTAAAGTAAATTACCTAGGGGAGTAGAATGATTTAGCATTTCAGATTATATTCCACTGAAGTTCCACTCCTCGCAGAAGTAAACCAGTCCAAGAATCTTGATGATGGCGACTGACCTGTATTTCTCTCGCTAAGGGATATTTATCTAATGCGATAAGCCAGCAGAGCGAGTCTAACCAGTAATGCTAAAGGCCGTCTAAGGTCATCTAATTATTAATATCTCGCAATTTATAAACTAATAAATGCTATATACAACGTAAGCTTAAATCTGATCCAACAACATATCTTTAAAATTTGCGCTTATCGAAATCTGCGCTAGAAGGTGAAATTGGAGATTGTAAATTGAAATTAGAATTCACCCACTTGGATTCATTTTGCGAAAAAGAAATAAGAATAGGTTCAAACCAGTGATTTTTTGATATTATTTATTTAAAATTGGTTATTACAAAATTAGTTAAATTATTAAAATTAGTAAATTTTTTTCTGGAAAAGTTTTCGCAAATTAAAACTAGAAATTTGATATACCATTCACCATTCCTGAAAATTTTGAAAAACTTTCGTTGTAGCTTAAAGAAAAATTTACAAATGTCATCGCCGATCGATAAGTAAGAAAGAGATATAAGAATTATCACGTTATCAGATTATCAGATTCTTTGTTCTTAGGTCGTTTAGTCTCATTTAAGCAAAAAAGGCTACTGAATGATTAATGCTTATTATTTCCGGTTAGAGTTACTCGGCTAGCTGTTAGTCTTAAGAGCCAACTTTACTTATGGTTTTAAGCTAAATAACTAAATAGCCTACTTAAGAGGTTTATATCCATTGCATCTATCATATCACTTCAGAAATGTCGATTAGCAATATTTCCAGCGATGATATTTTTATATTCTGCGAAAAGAACTGCGCGTTCTTTCTTCATTCATAAATGCTTCCTAATTGCGATAATTTGATAGATTTTCAATAAACTGAAAATTTGACCAAGAACAAAGATATATTTCCATTCATAAAAGTGCTTATTTTTTATTAAAATTTCGATTCGATCGGAGAAATATTTTTCAAAAAAATAATAATTGTATGAAAAATTAATAAATATTCAATTTTCTAAGCTTTAAAGAACGACTTTTTTATATTTTCTTAAATTCTCCATGCATTTAGAAAGAAAAAAAATAAGGAGATATAAAGTTATATATACGAGGTACCATCGATTCTTATCATTCACCGTTTTTATTTAATTTGTTCCAGCGGCTATTATTAAGATAAAACAGGCTGTAAAGTCACCTTGAAATGCAATTAATGAATCTTTCGCACTGAGCGAATTTTTTAGTGACAGAGCGATGTTAACCAGGAGTTGTGGGTCAAACTGTGGTGCTTGAAATGAAAGTCTAAATAGTTTAATACAACAATGCAAAACTTTAGTATCACAACAATATGTTCAAGATGAACAATGATTTAAACATAAAATTAGGTAAAATTTATGAAGTTACGCTTCAAAATCAATATGGCCCAGCCGTTTTGTTTCATGCCTACATTAAAATTAAGTCAAGTTAGCATTTTTTTTTGGAATTTAGGATGAAAATTTAAACTGATTTCAATTATAGATTGTGGAATATCATCGCTTTTTCATCGGATAAGTTAAGCCAAAATTTATCAGAGCGATTTTCAGTTTAATGCTGCCCTTCAATAATTGACATTGTCAAGTTGAGCTGATTTTTCAATCGAATTATTTTACACCTTTAAAATTTCGAAAGTTGTTTTTTATTCTTTGCTGTAGCATAGTGGATTTGATACTGGATTTGCAGAACCGGAAGTCATGCCCACAGGTCAACTTCCACAAATTCCGAATTTTGATGATGCAAGAGATTTTTCAAGGAAATTTGTTTTGAAAATTTCTTATTATATCTCTAATATTTCTCATTTCACTTAGCCAAGTTATCCCGGATGTTTTTTTTTGGAATGAAAGGTTTCGCTCAAAAGACATCATTTACGGTGCGGATGATTTTTAAATGAAAAGAAAAGCACTTTATTATAAAACCTAAGAAAGTTTTATGGAAATAATTATGCAATTATGCCAATCGAATATTTTATTGGATGATACGAAAATTTTAAACTTTTTTAATTTTAAATATTTTACCTAAAATACCTTTTGAAAACAATAAAACTAATAAGATTACTTGTCATTCGATAACAATTTCATTCTTTCTATTTATATTAAATGAATTACTTATTTCATATTGAAACTTTGCGTGGTAGGATTTTTCACATTTTTGACATTTTTGACATTTGAGTGGTCTTTATATTTAGTTTTTTAGCTATGACTAGCAATAATCACTTCTGATTAGCTTTATTCTAGTTGTTATTGGCTCGAAAGTCTTTATCCGCGGTACCATTTTTGATAAAAATATAACTGAATTCGTCGAACTACTCGGATTTTTAATGAAAGATTTATTGGAGACAGATGCCTTACTCTTCCTCCTCAACATGATAACTGGAATCATTCAATACATTGAAGTATAATCCCTATATCTTTCGAAGTGCCAATTTTTAGCTTTCTATAAATTAACCTGTAGCTCTTTTTCTCTTGGAAAATCTGAAAAGCAATGCAATGATGAGAGATATCGAAGAAAGAATTGCAAGGATTTAAAAGCATCAAGGCATTAAAGTTCAAATTTCTTAAGGAAATGGATATATCTGATTTTGAGAAAATATCAAGGGATATTGGAACAATTTCGCTTGTGCTTACAACAATTTTTTCACTTTTTTCTTATTTTTTTATCTTTCATCATCTTTCATTCCTCATCAATCCAAAATTTCCATGAAGGTGAGTAAAAAATTCGTGCCAAAGTAACCTCTGTTAAATTTATGATGTGTGGCCATTCCTTGTATAAACAATATGAAAAAATATAGTTAACAAGGCTTCTTGTTTTTGTTCCATAGTAACACGGATCAATAGGATAAGTGTGAATTAGATTAAACGATGATGAAAAACATATCTCAAAAATTTTTCATAAAATGGAAATCGCTTATTTCGAATTCACCTGCTAACAAACTAAGAGCCTATTGAATGTGATTATAAGTAGAAATGGAGCAAATAAAGAAACAAATAAAGTAAAGTAAAATTTTTATTGTGCAAAAAACAATTAAATCATATATGCTATGAATTATTGTTGGATTGCAAGCATCTTTGAAAGCATTCGTAAAATTTAGAAGTTGGGAGATCGAAAAATTTAGCTAAATTTTTAGGAGCTTCTTTCGAATTAATTGGATGAACGAAGGCAAATTTCAATAAATAATTCATAATGGAATTGGCCATACATGGGGGACCAGCGATGATATAGATGGAAAAAGGAGCAGCTTCTATTATAGTCGGCAGTGGCGTCGGATCGAACACCTTGGAGATGCCTTACCTTTGTAGCCAGCGGAGCCAGTCGAGCCGGTAATGGTGAAAGCTGCTAGAAGAAGAATAGAAATGGCTATGATATAGAGCATAACGACGATTTAACATTTGCAGTGAGTCGGCCTTTTCCCATCAAAAATTTTTTAAATTTTGACGGCTGTTTTGTTTTCATTGCACGTATTAACTCTTCCATTACCATTTTAATTTCATCAAAATTAACGGCAAATATCGACAAAAATTTGCAATTATCACCAAATAATTTTGCCATTTCTTCCCCCTAAACCCAAAAATTTTTTATTTTTGCAGAAAATAACACAACACAAAATTGCGATATTCAATTTTCTTTAGTCTAATTTTTAGTGAATATATTTATATTTATGAATTTTGATCGAATCATTAACTGATTTATTTATCCAAGTAAGTCAAGAAGCAAGGATTTATCATATAAGTATAGACGTTGGTTAACTGGCTAAGACATAAGTTTCGAAATTCCAGAAAATTTTTATAACAATAATAAAAGATTTTATTAAACACTGTTATTAAAGAACTAAAATATTTATTACCTTTTCCTGAGGGACTTTTGTTTTTGTGGGTGAATTTTCCACTATCCTTTTAGGCGTTAATTCAAGATTCAATGGCGAATCTTCAAATTCGTAGTTTTCAGATGTAGATGACTGAGAAACCGATGCTTTCTCAATTACTAATCCATCCGTTAAATTATCCTCGATTGAAATCAGAACTATAGGTATCTCAAAATTTAATATTTGAAATATTTTACTTCATTATTTTTATTTTTTTTCAATTTCAAAATATCTTCCCCGAAGTCACTTTTAGGCAAATTTGTTTATATGTAAAAAAGGCACTTTGTGTTTGTCTTTCCGTTTAGAAAAATCTTCTGAAACTTCAGTGATCCATTGAAGTGAATCTGTTGAGCATGCAGAATAAACCAAAATTGCTCCATGAGCTCTTTGAATACCCATTTCTCTTGCACCCGTGTGTTCCTTAATAATAAATTTATAATTTATCATTAAAAAATTTTTATTCGAGAAAAGAAAATAAAGGAAAGAATGGCCATCATTATAAATTTTACCATAAAATTCACGATTCTATTGTGAATTTATTTGTTTTTTGGTATCATAAGTACCACTAAGCAAACAAATTCCTTCTCGATTTACAATATTCATCAATATTCAAAATATATATCGCTCATTCATTCGAATATGCTTGTACAAAAAAAAAAATTTTTTTAAAAATTTTTTGATAATAACAAATTTTTCTGGATTTCACACTTTTTTATGTATATTATTTCTAGGTATTAATTAAGGATATTTATAAGTCGAGTGATACTGGCGATTCATCTATGCTTCTGAAGTGACATCAGAGGCAACATTCATTTGATCTCACAAGTTAGCGACCTAATTACAAATGAAAGGCGCTCCTTGAAAAAAAGGACAGTTTTGAACATTGGAATACATACATGGGCATAGATTTATTGAGCTCGAGAAGTGGTATAATCCGTTAACACCAATTATCACCATTGACATTTATCGTTAATCCACCCATTTTCATGCGACTAGTGAACTAATAAAACTTGTAAACTTATATTTCTTTTATCTCTCACCATTATCAATAAAATTTATTTACCAAGCCTGGATCGAATAATTCCACAGTCACTTCTTCACCATCGATATTGTATTTGAGATAGAAAGTATCTGCGTATGTAACATGTTTCTCGCATTTAATAGCTGTTGCCCGTATTTTTTCGAACTGAAAGTTAGCAAAATTAAGCAAAAATAGTCAAAATATAGGTGAACGTTACAATATTGTATTATTTTCAGGAAACTAAGGGATTAGATAAAAATTATTAAAACAAAAAATAAAATCCAAAAGAGATCATCTTTGTGGCCAGTGGAACCACATACATCAGAAATGAGGGACAATATTAGGGGAAGTATTTATGAATATCCACCATAATTGGAACTTAAATATAGTAATTAGTAAGTAATGCAAAATATGTAAAAAGAATATAAAATATTAAAAAAATATTAAATATTAAATATTAAAAATATACAAGAATATTTTTCTGAGGTGCGCCAATATAAAGCAGTCGAATTTCAGTGTCTCTAATTTCCATCAAACTAAAGAAACATATCTGAAATTCAAAACCACTTATTAGATTTTTAATGAATAGTTTTTTTCAATTGTTGAAGTATAAGTACAATAACCGATGTTAATCCGAGTAATTACCAGTTATAAGTTTATAAAAATAATCTAAAAATTAGAAGAATTAAATTAGAGCTTTCCTCGGACAAAATTATAAGAAAAAATTTTCAAAATTATTTTATAATTATGGAATAAATAAATAAAGATTTTTTTTGAAAATTATGTGAAAAAACTTTGATTTTTCAAAATTTTCAAGAAAGAAAGTAAAAATGACATTGAATTATATAAATATTCAACCGAATAAATCTATTTTTGCACAAAAAACTGCAAAAGAAGTTTATAAAAATTTATAACTCGAAATAATAATTTTTTAAATATTAAAATGCTTTTTCACTAATCGAAATTTTTGCAAACTTTCCAATTTTATTAGTTTTTTCGATTATTACGCTTTGTGTTAAAAAAATTAATAGGTAACAAAAATAAAAACATAAACTTATATAAGATTGATGAAAATTGATAAACTCTTAACCATTAGCAAAGATTTAAAGTCATTTGTCATCTAAAAAATTTATGATGAAAACCAAAATTTCTGTGATTAAGTGTTTATCAATTTCTATCTCAGCACTTTCTCTCAGATTCTCTCAGAATTTAAAGCTTTTGATAATTATCATTTTTTTAAAATTATCATCAACAGAAACTATTTAACAAGGAAATCACACATTGGAAAATAAAAATATTACTTAATTAGTTAAGTTAATTTCGAAGGTTATAAGTTGCGATTACCAATAGATTTAAGTAATTCCAAGATGAAATCTGACAAAGGAAATGAAAACAGAATTTCTTTTTTTAAAGAAATTCTACTCGAAATTCGAAATTCTATGAAACAAACGTCCCAATCCAGTTCTACGCTTTAGAAATAATTTCTATTTTATAAATTAAAAAAAGATAATTAATGTTTGGCTGATAAACAATAAAAAGATGAGCAACAGTAGTTATCAATTATTTTTTAAAGCGCTTCTTTTATATTTTACAATAAAGTTTTGCACTCGAAATGTTCGTTACACCAATAGTTGTGATTAGGCTTACCGCACTATTGGTTTTGTTAGTCTTACTTGGAAATAGCAGTATAACTGAATTTATAGTACCATTCGGAACTCAAGCTTTTTGTCGGTCGAACCGATTCCTTACATCCAATGAACTCTTTTAAATATGCATTGATAAAATTTTATTAATTTATCATTTATTAATTTTATTAATTTTACATTAAATTAGTGCTTTAAAACGAATTATTTCGATATAAAACTTGTGAATATTTCCTTTAAAAATTATTTCTTTGAATTTATTTTTCTATTACTTATTCATTTTGAAACTAAAAAAAAATTTTGAGAAATAATCGCCTGAGGACATATTAAAATTTATTTTGTATAAGTAAATTATTCAATAAAAAATAAAAAATTATTCATTTATTTATTGAAAACCAGCCAAGCATGGCGACAACGATATGTGTTTGTATTAATAACAACAGGTAAAAAAAACATAATAAAATTTAATAAGAAAACTGAAAATATGACAAAAATTAAAAATTTAAAGAGGAAATAAAGAGGGAATTGCAGAATATTATAATATATTACAATTCGAATCAACTCGGATGGTAAAAATCGAGATTTCACACTTCCTGCATGATGTGAACTTTTTAAATAATATTATAAATGATATTATTTAATTTTTTTTTAAGTTAGCTAAATGGCGCACAATATCGTTTGGTAGTTTATTCCAGTAATTAATATTACGAATAAATGAGTCCTTAGTTTAGTTTTACACATAGATTTTAGTAATTTTAGTCCATTAGTTCTTGTTGGATTTAAATTTAGCGTAAAATTATAGTATTTTGAACAATCTAGTTTAACCATATAGAATCTTAGAAGTAATTCTTGCTTAATCCGACGAACTGACAGAGAATCCAGGTTATATTGTAGAAGTTTTCTTTTATAATTAAAATTGCAATCAGGAGAGAGGCGTATAAAATATTTTTGGAGTAAAATATTTGACAAATTTCATCGGCTAATCAACGTTTTTTCTAAAATTTCCGTTGCAATTTAAATTTTTTTATTTTAAAAGCGAAAAAAATTATTTATTATTAAATGAAATTTATTTGTAAATTTTGCAAATAAGCTGACTCGTTTCTTTTTTAATAAATTTGGTTGCCCAAATATTAATTAAAATTAATTTATTAATTAAAAATATTTTAATTTTTTTTGAATTTTTTTCCATTAATATTCAGTTAATTTAATATTAATTAGTATTTATTAATATTTAATATTTTATATAAAATCTTTTCGCTATAGAAAAATGGAAACTTATTAAAGTAGACATTGTAGATGAAATAATAAAATTGTTGAATTTTCTCATTAAAAAAAGAAATTTTACTTTCATATCGAAAGTAATAAAACGATCATTTATAATGGGAAAGCTCAATTTATTGGTATTTAAAATATTAATTCTCCTTTTTCACCACAAATTTTAATAATAAATTTAGTAATTTAGAAAAGACACTGCTTTGGCTCATGGCAAGCAGCACGCAATTCCTAGGCGTTGACGGCAATAAACATTTCATTAAAAGTGAAATCCGGATGGCTGCTAAGAAACTCTCTTCCCAATAAGCTTTCCAAAAAGACATTTAGGCATATTCAGTGGGGCCAATTAATTTAGAAATCTGGTCAAACAATGTCAAAGAAAGCTAAAGAATGAAGGAATATAATGTAATAAAAGCATTAATCTTCAGTTGAAACATTTCATTAAAAATCAGTCAAAATATTTAATTTAATTATAATTATAGTCGAGAGAAGAAAAAAAAGTGACATTTGCAAGAGATATGTTCATAGTAAGGCCTAGTAATAATCGCAAGCAATGTGAATATGTAATAAGGCTTGGCAGTAATTGCAAGTAGTGTGAATATGCAATAAGGCCTAGCAATAATCGCAAGCAATGTGAATATGTAATAAGGCCTGGCAGTAATTGCAAGTAGTGTGAATATGCAATAAGGTATGTTTATGATAATGCTTAGCGTTCATTATGCTTATTTGCAGTTCGCCGATCAAGAAAGGTTCAACTATTATGAAGTGCAAATTTTTTATTTAGTAACCAAGGCTACTAAAAAAAACCTTCCAAAAACCAAATAAATCAATTAACGTATATTTTGAAAAAAGTTATAAATTTAATGTTTTTAACAAAGCTACTTTATATAACTTTATATAACTTTAAAATTAAATCTCCGCAAAAAATGTCTAAAGAAATTTCATTTTAGCAATAAAAGTTGTATTTTCATAGTTTAAAGTTTTTAAGTTAAAAGATAAAAGGTTAAAGGTTATAAAAGAATTTTTCAAAGAACCCTCATAATGTTTATGTTGTGCTTATAATAAAATTTTTCATAATGAAAAAATCAAGCTTAACTATTATCATACAAATATTATTACAAATATTAAATCAAAGATAAACGCTTAAGCACTCTTAGAATTTAATTCATTAAACTTTGAATTAAAGGCTAATAAAATTTTTTCTTGGAATTCATAATGACACTATTGTTTAACAGCGCTTATCATTCCTGCTTTGGTTCGTTTCATTGGCTCTTAGAATGAATATCATTGAATATCTTTATCATTTGATAATTTAGAAATAGAGAGAGCGCACCACTCGATTTTGATTTTCATAAAGTTTATTTATTTTATAATATTCTATAAATAATTTTTATAATAAATTATTTGAAGAGAAAATTCGAGAGAGAAATTAGGGCACTCTTTTAAAAATAAAATAAAATTTTTAACCATAAATGATTTTAATGAAAAAGCGAGCGCTATTTTAAATATTCAATTTAAATACATAATTTTTTTTTCATATTACAAATATTATTACAAATGATAAATGGTCAATAGATAAAAACTGATAAAAAAATGATAATTGAGTTAGTAATTAAATTAATTAAATGTTTTGCCAATTAAAAAAAAGAAAATGTGTGCTACTTTTTTTTTATTATGTAAATATCAATTTCTTTCTCGCTCAGAAATCAATTATCTTTTTCTTTTTATAAAAAGAAAGTGTGTAAATATAAAAATAATAAAAAAATTGGAAAAATATTTTTTACGATTGTGAAGTAAACGAAAGTGTGAATGAAAAATATTTCTTGAATCATTATGAATCATTTTTTTGTGAAAGTAAAATATTTACGAAGATTAACCATTTAAAAAAATTTGAAATTATGGAGTAATAAAGTAAAATAAAATAAATCGAATGTGAATCGGATAGACGACTGCAATAAATCAAAAAGTAACCTTATGTGAACCTAAAACTATTTTTTTCTCCTCTTTTTAGCATCAATCACCAATTATTTTTTAGTTTGCATTGGTTCTATTGACTTCTCGGATTAGTCACTTTCGCCGGCGAATCAATTTACAGTTATCGAGGCGTAAATTTTAGCAGATTTGCGAATTCCACTTTATTACCAGTTTTAATCTTGCAAAGTGATAAGCGCGAAGATAAGCCCTATTAAATGCCAAACACTTTGCGCCAATTATAGAAAAATGAACGACAGAATGACAAAAATGCCAGAAAAAAGTGTGAAATAATGCGGTTTTATCAAATGTAGCAATAATAATTAACAAATTAATAACAAAAAGAAATAATTGTTTCCTTATTTAAACGACAACTTATTTGAGCAAAAAAAAGTACAAATCGCCGCTAATTCATTTTGATAAACAATAATAATAAAATTATAAGATTTTCATGTTTCCACGGTGATATTGTCCATTGATTTTTTCACTAGAACAATTGACAATATTTATTCTTAAAAATAAATTTTTTTTGAAAATAGTATGTATTCATTATGTTTATATAAGCGATTTATATATACGAGCGACTCTCACGCGACTTATATACAAGCGACTTGTAAGCGACATATACATGGGTATGCGAGCACTT